TGGATCACCTTTTATTACGAGGACTCCTTTACATCCTTAACCCTTCGGCCAAAGGCACCCTCCCTTTCGCCTTTCTGCACAGGTTTCACGGAGAGGCCGAGCAACCGCAGTGCACCGCTCTCCAGCCGCGTACACCCCTCGCTGCTCCCGCCTTCCCCGCCAGCAGGTACCTTAGCGGCCGGACCCCAGCGTCGGTACCTCAGCCGGCAGCCGGTACCTCAGCCGGCAGCCGGTACCTCAGCCGGCAGCCGGTACCTCAGCCGGCAGCCGGTACCTCAGCCGGCAGCCGGTACCTCAGGGGCTGCCACCCACTGAACCCTGGCGCCTACTTCATCCGGGAGAGCTCACCCAGGCTCGCCGCCACCGCGCTGCCGGCTCGTCCCCAGCCGGGCCGGTAACAGCAGTAACCCCACCGAGCACGACCCCAGGGCATCCAAAAGCTGGCACTCACCCTCCCGTCATTTCCGCTGCTCCACAGCAAAGCAGGAGCCGCACTCCGGGACAGACAGACACACACCCCACAACGCCACGCCCCGGTGATAGGCAAGTAGCCAATAGGAAAGAAGCTCCCCGCCTCGACCAATGGGGAGCCAGCATCGGGTACGCGCGGCGGGGACCTGAAGCCCTCCCGTCCCTCCCCGGCGGCTCCCTCGCGGCCCCTGTCGGTCCGGAAAGTAACGGTCGCACCTCCCGCGTCCCAGCGCCGTACAATAAACGGGCAGGAGCTGGCAGCGCGGTAGTGGGGTTTGGAGAAGGGGGCAGGTAACGCACTCGGCAACGGCTTTAATTTAAATGTAAATATTTATTTTAAAATGTCTTGACTTTACACTTCCGATCGGTAATAAATGTAAAATATAATTTAAGAAATACACTTGGAAGTTCCTTCTAAAAGCAGGCTGAGAAAACAGCACAAAAACAAACAAAAAATAATCAACAGAAAAGTGCACTGGTTTTAAACAAAATGCCAAAATACCAAATCCACGATTTACTGCCTGCTTTTTAATAGCCCGCTAGCGATATACCTGGACGTCTATTATACTTGTATATGAAGCAGCATAGTCGATAATGGTTAGGTTACATGTTACCAAAGGTATTCCTGTTAACTGTGGCTGGGTGCACTTCCCCAAGGCAGCCTTTAGGGCTGGGGCTGTGCTTGCTCGCTACCGGCCGGCCTCAGTATTTGAGGTGTCGAAGCAACCAGCATGTGAATCGCCTGCCTAAATGCACGCGGAACAGACACAGACTGGTATATACGTTTTCAGTAATGCTCAGGTCGTTGCGGTGTTCCCTCCAGAAACGTGCTCTGAATTTTGGGGATTATGCAATATGAGTTTGGCGAAAACTGCCGCTTGATCTCCATGTCCTCCACTGTGTTTCTTCAGGAAGAGTGGGAATGGCATTTTTAATGCAGGATTATTAGAGTTTGATGGTAGATTATGCCTCATTTCAAGATGAATATTTTTTCATGGTCATTTCTGTAACAGAGGCCTTTACATGGAGTCTCATTAAAACGCTTGATAATTTTTTGTGGTTCTAATCTCAAAATCTAAAATGGGCTAATTGAAAACACCACAGTATACACATTGTGTAATGCTTCCTTACCCTTCTTAAAACAAAATACAAATTAAAAGTGCAATTGTACAGTGAAAGAATAAACACATGTAGGGAAAAAAAATGCAAAAAGCAAAAAAGGAGAAAACAACTTTTTGAAAGAGAGACCATGTCTAAACAGAAAAGGCTTTGGCAACAGGGGAAGTTCAGGTTAGATATAAGGAAGAAGTCCTTTACCGGGAGAGCAGTGAGGCACTGGAAGAGGTTGCCTAAAGAAGTGGTAAATGCTCCATCCCTGGCAGTGTTCAAGGCCAGGCTGGATGAGGCGCTGAGCAACCCGGTCCAGTGGGAGGCATTCCTCCTTATGGCAGGGGGTTGAAACCAGATGATCTTAAGGTCCTTTCCAACCCGAACCATCCTATGATATGTACTTGCAGAACTAAACTGTTGGTGGTAGCTCAGAGTTTCTTGGCAGTACAGTCTCCTTAAGAGAGGATGTTTCACCAGCAAAGCAACCTATTTTCTGTTGTAGGAGTTCTGTGTAGTTAATGAGTGCCTCTGTTCTATTAAGGATGGCAGGGGGGTAATACGGGATTGCACTAATGCTTCATACTGAGCTAGAGGAAGGAGAAGTTTTGTTAGTGGACACAACTGCCTTTAAGGAAGAAAGTGTTCTTTGGCTTTGTTAAGTAGCTGTGTAGGGGGGAAGATATACAAGGAAGGATCCTTTCAGAAGAGAGAAGTTTATTGACTGCAAACAGGAAGAACCTTAACGTTTGTAAGAACTGAACACTGCTACTGAGAACTGAGATAACTTGCCTTTTTTAAGTTTGGTCTCAGACAAGATTTTTTTAAAAGCACAAGAGTTGATGCTTGCCTCTTCTTATCTCACATTTTAAATGAACAAAAGAAAACATGAGATTCAGAAGGAAGACGCAGAGATGTAATTCCTATGACACCCTTCTGTGCAAAAATGGGGAGCTCTAGACCAGTGCTTTAGCTGACATTTTTGGCATAGCCTCTAATTAGTTAAATACAATTACTGAGGCTAGCTATGCAGCTGGTGTTCTTTCCATTACCTTCTGCCACATTTTTGTATTAGTCATTGGAATACCATAATTCTACCAGTAAAAATGCAAAACTGGAAGGTTTTTTTGTTACGCAGCTATCCCTGGAGCCCCATTGCATCAAGGAAATCCTGAGAAACTTCAGACTGGACAGTCAGAGCACCAGCTGCACGACTGAGCCACAATTACCAGCAGCAAGAGTGTTAATGCAGACACTGAATTTGCCAGAATTTCAAAGAATAACCCCAGGAAAGGAGCAGGAGCACTTCATGCCTCCTAGAATGATATTTTGTCTGATTGAGAAGTACAACTTAGCACTGAATTACTGCAATCCTTGTTTTTAAGTAATTATTTTCAGCCCGAAAAGTTACAAATTCAGTTCTACATTAAAAATAATGACATGGTTTCAGAGCAGAGTTATTAGTGGTGGGTGGAGAATTCATGCTCTAGTCACAGAATAATTACTCTTTGACAGCAATATGTCAATCAAGGTGATCTTTCTCCCAAAAATCTGTCTTAATCCATTTTTTTACATTCCCTCCTAAACCTCTATCCAAAGCAAATCTTTGCCGAAGCACAGGCAAGTGCTTGGATCTCTGTATGTTTAGGTATCTTTCAAAAGTACTTTGTGGGTTTAGTGTATTTGTGTATACCTATATATGTATGAACAAATGCTTTGTTCAGAAGCATTTCTGATAGCATGATAGGGAAATGCATTTATAATGAGAAGAACATATGCCATGTGTGCTCAAACACAACAAAGATGTATTTGTCAGGGTGACAGTGTCTGTGAACATAAGCTACCAGCAGCCCCCCCGTCTGAATCTCCTTCAGCTAGGTAAAAGCCTTGTGACTATAACCTGAGCATGGCCACCTGCAGAATCTCTTTGCTCACTACCCACATTGCAGAAGTCTGCTTCAGTTGTGACACATGATTACACATAGGATTTTGCAAGATTTAAAAGAGAGGAAGAAACTATGAAGCCTATGAAGATAGGCTGAGAAAGTTGGGGCTGTTCAGCCTGGAGAAGAGAAAGCTGCATGGAGACCTCATAGCAGCCTTCCAGTATCTGAAGGGGGCCTATAGGGATGCTGGGGACTCTTCATTAGGGACTGTAGTGATAGCACAAGGGGTAATGGGTTAAAACTTAAACAGGGGAAGTTTAGATTGGATATAAGAAGGAAATTCTTTCCTGTTAGGGTAGTGAGGCACTGGAATAGGTAGCCCAGGGAGGCTGTGAAAGCTCCATCCCTGGCAGTGTTCAGGGCCAGGTAGGACGAGGCCTTGGGTCACATGGCTTAGAGTGAGGTGTCCCTGCCGGTGGCAGGGGGGTTGGAACTTGATGATCTTAAGGTCCTTTTCAACCCTAACTATGAAACTACGGGTAGAAATTCCTTTTCCAGTGAGAAATTTTCTACAGTCTAGTTTAGGTTCAGAGTTTTTGTCTCAATATAATCAGAAGAGTCTTTCCATTTTGAATTTTTATGCTAGGACAGAAGGGAGAAGGAGAAGAAGGAAGGAGAAAGAAAAGACAAGAACAACAGAACAGCTCTATACCACCATCATTCTGAGATTGTGGGTTTTAGTTATATCACACTGATGAGAAACAATTGAGTATGTTAACTTTTTCCCCACTACCTAAGGCAATGTATGTATTTATAGGTAGGTTGGTTTTTTAACTATTCCAATTAAAACATCACCCACTGTTAAGACAATTCAATGGCTTTTCTGAAGTAACTACAGTGAGTGAGGCTCTACTACTCAAGTTCTAATATGGCTTCAATATGAAGAGTTAAGAAAGGCTTCCAGGCGGCAGAAGCTGACCTTATCCCACAGAATATTCTTTGCCTCAGGCTTGTTGCCTCTCATTTAAGTATTTTAAGCACTAGGAATTTGCAGAATTGCACGTGCCCTGTTGCTCTCCAGACCATCAAAAGATCAGCACCCAAAGTCTTACTGAAGTGGCTGATGCGCAAATGTCAGATTTCCCTATGACACCCAGAGACAATTAACTTCCAAAGATTTTAAGAATACATTACTGTGTTCTAGTGAAGGGTGATTAAACCATAGACATGCACTTTGCACTACAGCATTACTATCACGGAGTAGGAAGTCAGTCATTCCTGCAGAGACTATAGGTACAGTCCCTTGATCTTTCATTTCACTAGTTGGATCTCCAAACTGAGGACCAGCTGAAACCAGCTTACCCCTTGCACACTGCTGCCCTCACTCAGATGTTCAAAACAAAGCTCTACTTTGGTATCCAGAGAGTCTAAAGTGAATATAAATGATTGGTAGTGTTATCTACAGTGGAGGTCTTCCCCAGTTTCAGCCACTGGTAACTGCATCCCAGCAAACCTTAGAAGCAGGAAAATCCACCCTTGTTGCTGGACAAGTTTAACTCTTGGCTCAAATCAGGTTGTTTTTCAGTAAAAATAGTGCTTACAATGGTGTACTTCAGTTGGACTAGCATTCTTATGGTGTTCAACAGCTGTCCACTGACAGATGAATCAGGCCACATTCACAGTATAGACAAGACCTTATTCAGCAGCTTTAGCATTGATAATAGTCTCTGCTCTCTGTGGACTGAGCAACATTTCAGAGGGAAACACATTCTTTTAGAGCTTTTAGGGCTGCTCACCTTCCATATAGAAAAAATATGGATGAATATCAAAACATAGCCCCGAACACAAGAATTCATTAGCTCATTCTGTCTCAACCTCTGGCATGTTTATGGCTTAGGAAGTTTGAATACTGTCATCAGTCAGGTGTTAGAAGCACACACTGGAAAAAGGCATTTCTTGGAGCCTCTGTGCTCCAAGTTCTTATCAGGTTAAGTGTTCGACTAGGAATTTCTTCTGCAAGAAAACTTTTTTATTGTTGTTACAATAAATACATTTGGAGGCTCTTAAAACAGACTTTTGGGCTGTGTTTGAGGGATACAAATACCAGCTCATTAAGGATAAGGGCTAAACACGAGTGACTGAAGGAACTGGTCTTTGTTTACTATCATAGTAACATATTGACAGTGGTTAGCAGTTGTCCAAAAAGAGGATAAATTGCTGATCACTTTATAAGCACAGTTCTTAGGAAATTGATGGATATGTGTGATAACTTAAAGAGAATTACACTGATACCACATTTTTTCATGTGAGACATGGAATAACTACCCAGCCATAAATTAACAGGGCCAAATTCAAATGTGATGTGCAGGACTAGTGTGTTTGCATTCAGACTTTATGGAACAATAAGGAAGCAAACCTGACTGCATTTACACAGTAGGGAGTCAGAAGGTGACATCACACTTTTGAGTCACACGTTCATCCATCCTCCTAGAAGAAGGCTGTTACATCTCTTAAATTAGATTCTTTTACATGCAGAAGCTTCATCTACCTCTATAACATCAATTAACGTGTAAAATATGTCTGTGTTTGTTGGAAACATGAGAAAAATCATCTCAGCTGAAGTAAACCAGGAAAGCCTTAAAGTAGATATTTATGTTAACAAAATAGCCTTCATTCTGTAACAGAATGATCTGTAGAGAGCTTCTGTTGTTAATATATGTTGTTCCACACTGACGAGAGAAATCTGGCTGATATAGATGTCCCATTGTAGTCATGTCAGGAAATATTTCTAAGCACAGATGAGGCATTCTGTGGCACAGTCCTCTACAGAGCTGCACCTGATTTAAACACTTACATTGTGCAAAGTGGCACCAGCACGCCCAGATTAGGACAACAGTGTTTTACGGTCATTGCATCAATGTAAATAATGAGAGAAGGTGCAAGGTAGTGCAAACCAGGCCCAGGTACTCTCTCTGAGAGGGGTGTGACAGTGAGTCCAAGTATGGAATTAAATGAGCAGCTTTTCAGCAGTCCTGCTGTACATGAGTAGCCAGTTTTCTTGCCTGTAAGCATTTCTGCAATTTGGCTTGAATTTATGTGATGTGAACAGTGGTGTACCTGAGAGCTGTGTAAATTCCACCATCGTAGTCTCACTTCAGAACGTCTGATGTTGCACTGCACCCACTGGCAGCAGTATTAAAGCAAGGATATCAAGACTATCTTAAGTAAGAAGCAGCACATAGCCAACAGGGAACTGATTTATCTCAGACACACAAAAAAAAATGTTTTCATGGCTTGGGTATGGTCAGTTGGACTATGGCAGAATTAATTTGAGCTACAGTAAGACATTATTGTCCCTCTTTACTGTGGACTCTTGTCTTTTTGCTGGGAATACTGCCTTCTGCAGGACAGCCATCAAAAGGTACCATTTCAGTGTAAAGTGCAGCATTTCAGATCACACGATTGTTCACAAGTACTTAACTGACATGCAAAGAATGTAATCTTTGCATCTGTCAACTCTAATGTACAGGCAATAATTTCTATCAGAGAAGACAGACAGGCTTGGAGAAGAGCAGCCTCCCAGGTGCAGAAACATTCCCCATAAACTACACTTATCGCACATATTTATAGCATTTGGGAGAAGTTTATGCCACTGTTCTGGCATGTAAAGCCATGCCTTTAGTGGCTAGCAGATACAGAAATGAAGACATTATAATTATTTATAATATTTTGAAAAGAAAACATTCATTATAGGGTTTCCTTCGAAAAGCACATATACATCTAAGCTTTTTTTTTGCCTTTTTTTTTTTTTTAAATGATGTGGTTTTTATATAGGTGAAGTTGATATAAAGTTGACATAGTGCAATTTTAAAGCAAAAGTTAGTGCAGGAGTCAAACTACAACAGCGATAAAAACCAAACCAGAAGTTGTACTTTTTTTTTTTTTTTGGTGGAAATGCATGACTGCCTGGGTTCAAAGGAAAGCATCAGATCTGTTTTCAAAAACACTTTGTGCTTTTGAAATATATGCATCCTCCAGTTAGCTCTTGGTTTAAGAGATTAAGATTTTATTTTGTGAATGAAACTAGGATGCTTTTGAAAATAAGATGTGTAATCTTAGTGTGGTGTTTGGTTTTGATGCCAGGTGACAATATCTAACAAGCTGTTATCAATCAAATAAATACTATCAAATTAAAAAGTGCATTTCCTTTGTTAATGTTACAAGTAACAGCAATAAATATTGGGGAAATATTTTCTCATGTATATTTTACAGCATTGGTAACATAGAAGTGGGTAACATTCCATTGTTCGGCCTTTCAAACAGCAACATGAAAGGCTGATGGCTTTAGAATGGAAAAACATGGCTGCTAAAACATCAGTATTATCAAGGAAACTTGGGAAGAACTTCAGTTTGAAGTGAAATAATTTCTAATGCATTTTATGAAAGTAATTTGTTTTAATTAATGCTATCCTGTTGCCATCAGTTTAATGCTGAGATAAAGGAATAGCAGATGCTTCTTACTAGAATAGCAAAGAACTTAAAATACAAAAAGCACTAAGATAAAGCGGCCACGCTGAAGACCATAAACATTTTACGTTTGCACAGAGACATCCGTATCAGCTTCAGAAAACCAAACAGAACAAAGGCAGGAAACAGAAATAGCTAGACCTTGGCAATAAATTGTAGACATGAGAGGAGAGATGATAAAAGACAAATTAGCATGTATACCTGTGCAGTGAGCAATGATTATTTTTCTATGCCTGAGGTTTTATCTTTCTTTCTTTCCAAAGATCACTAAGAGAAGGGTAGTAGGGCAGTACAGGGTATATTATGTGTGTGTGTCTGTGTGTTTTGTCTCATACACACACACACACACACACACACACACACACACACACAAAATCTTTGCACTGGCTTTTAATTTTAGTAAATTATTTAACCCAACTGGAAGAGAACCTACAACTTCATGCCTTTAACATGATAAATACTCCAAATGTTATAAAATCTATTGTAAAAATGTACATTCAGTGGTTTTATGAGGCACAGGACCTGCTAATGTATTTTCAGGGAAGCTCGTGTGTACTCTGTTCTGTCCACTGCTGGACAATGGTGGAGAATCCAGGGGTTCACGCTTGATTGCTTGAACCAAGCAGGGGTTTTTAAATTCACACGGCATTTTAAACCCCTCATTATTCTGTTCTTTCTCCTCTCCTGGGCTGGGGCTGTAGAAGTGGCCGTAGCATGCTGTGTGTGTCAGGTCGGGCATGCTTTCCAAACACCCGGAGGAGTTCTGAGCATAAAACGGGGCCACCTCCTTGCTACGTGAACCCTTGCAAGATCTGTTCAGGTTTATGTTGTTGGGATGATTTGCTACGATGCACTGCCAGTTATGCGGTGTGTAAAGGCAGTGCCTTGGCTTCTGACAAGGTGAGGCTGGCTCGCAGAGGTCCAGTTCTGTTTTGAGATGTACTCTATTGGGGTAGCTAAACACCTGCTTTCTCACTGAGCCATTCTCATCCACCGAGGCTCGGTTTTGTGACATCAGGTAGTTATCAGCAATGTTTTCAGAATCAGAATCATATTCCGTTTTGATAGGCATCTCCAAGGGAAAGGCTGTGTCATAGAAAGACTCTGAGGATATGAATGGTCTCTGCATTTTCAGATGGTCCGTTGCATAGTTCTCCGCACAACGCTGTTGTACACCTGAGTAAGACTGGCAGCTTTCTGCGCTCCCCCAGTGGGAAGGGCAAGTTGATGCTAAGTTTAAGAAGCTTTGGTCTCTGTTGTAGAGTGATCCAGCTCTCCTGTTTGAACATGTGTTCATTCGCTGGCTCATAGAACAAGAGCTTGAGTTTCTTAAAGTCCAGCTACTGTTTGTGGTGCAGTTGTTTTGAACACCTAAAACTGATGTGTTGGAACTGAGAGGTTCCTCTTGCATAAAACACTCACCGTTTGTATGTGGCTCAAACTTCACTTTTATGTTATCTTGTTCGTTTTTTACTGCTGTCCAGTTAAGATGCTTCCACTGTCCCAGAGTTTCAATGGCGCTGTTATAGGAAAGCCCCTCCAGGTTTCCTTTCAAACTGGCAAAACCACTTAGTATCTTCAGTTGTTCATCTTCTTCCCTTTCAATAACAGTTACAAAAAAAAAATCAGTCAATGAGAGGTTTGTAAATGAATGTTTTCTAGTATACAAATGGAGCGGATCAACATACATTACAAGCAATATCTTGTTGTTAACTTAATATGGGACTCTCACACTCTTGTCCCTACAGCCTTTGCATTTGTTCAAGGGAAAAAAAGAGTGTGCATGCATCTGGACGTCAGTGTGTGCACAGCTACCTTTTCTGTGGCACTGTTTCATTGAAATTCTGACAGGAATTTACTCTTCCATTTCAGGCACATAGTTCACAAAGACCTTCAATATTGTAGTACAGTATGGTAACTACCTTACACTTTCGTTCTTCCTTTAAAATCTATCTAAAAAATATTTGTGTGTAGAAAAATATAGAGATAAAATGAAAAGAGTATCTTAAAGGAGATGTATTTTGTTAACAAAGGATTGTTTGGACACATAAGGACTTTCTGATCAAAATGATTTGAGGGAGAACCATGGGGGTCTTATATTTTGAGAATGCAAGTTAGATGAGAGGAAATAAGATGCCTAAATTAAGTGGCCAGAATAGTCACAGATGTTCATATTGAGCATAGATTTGTTTCATATGTCAAACTTAATTTATGTTGCCTTTTGTTTTCTAAGATGGCCAGTGAATTAATTTTCCATAACCTCCAGCTGAAGTACTCCATATTACAAAAAAGCTCTGTCAGACAAAGTTGCCTGAGCGTTTCCAGCCCAATGCAGATGGTGTTCAGATCTTCAGGTTCAGGATTTTCTTGAACTCACTAACATGCTGATTCCAGACCAGGCAGGATCAGTGCTACAAAACCAACGCCTCCCTCCCCGAACAATAAGTGGACTTCTCAATAAGAAAGGAGCATGAAAACCTGGAGAGTTAGTAAGCTGTTTAGAAGGCTTTTTCTTAGCTCATATTAAGAACTGCTGCCTTGGGTGCAAGTATAAGATTTTCCAGTAGAGGGAGTCCATGTTGCTATAAAGAGAGAATATCCCACTAATAAATGTACACCAAGAAAGGAGAATATGTTCTCTCTTTTTTAACATGAGATATTAAATATTTTCAGTCCTTTAATAGCTGTTGTTATTGCTATTGTCTACAGTCTTGATATGTAAATGGAATGATGCAAGTTTGCTGCAGAACTAGCTTCTCAGGAAATGGACTAATTAGCAAGCAATGGACTGATGAAAATGCAATCGTCATGAAAACTGAGATCCCAAATGAAGAATTTTACAGTGAAATAGCATCTAGTTAAAATTCTCCAAAAAAATGTGTGTGTGTATGTTCCCAGGAAGGCAGCACACATTTCTACAAAAAACCCCCGAACTCCTGAAGAGTAGTAGTAAGGATGAAGTCTATTGCAGGCTATCAGAAAGACAGAACTGAATATAACTTCCATGGCCAGGTCTTGTAACACTTCGGTCAAGCACAAAGGAAGGATTTTAACCACTCAGAGAGTAAAAATGACCCCGCCTGGAGTACTGTGTTTAGCTGTGGAAGGCCAGGTGGGATGGGGCTCTGAGCAACCTGGCCTATTGGGAGTTGTCCCTACTCATAGCAAGGGGGGTGAAACTGGATGAGCTTCAAGGTCTCTTCCAACCCAAACCATTCTATGATCAAAGAGCATGCTTAGTTACACAAAAACCATTTTAGAAGTAGAGACTTGAATATAAGAAACATCTACTTTTAATCTGTTCCTTAATAGAAGTTCATTCCTTCACACAGCAAGACGATGTTTGTGCTGTCCCAATAAAGTTGAAGAATTCCACCACCCTCAGGTGGGATCTTTTCAGCTGTTCATGTGGATACTGAGTGATACGCTGCCTGCAAAGGATAACTACGCTGCAAGTTCAAAGACTTTTTCATTTATTTTTTCCACCTGTGAGACATCCTGACTTGGTGATATCAGCCACATTTTTTCCACTGGGCCAGATGGTGGCTATGTACACCTGGCTCCTGCACATTCAGTCCATTCGGTATATCTTCCCTCAGATCAGCTTGAAGAGATGCCTCAACAAGGCCCACAAGAACTGGAACAGGCAATCCCATGGGGAAGGAAGAAAAGCTGATTTGGGAGGGAAGGGTAAAACACAGTGGGGAAGTCCTCTTTGAATGCAAATCTGTGAGATTAGCTTCGAATCCAAGGCTGAGCCTACAACCAACTAGATGTATCTATCTACAAACATACAATAAATAGAAGCGTTCCTGTTTAGATTAGGTTGAACATCCACAACTAAAAACATGAGCTTGACTGTGACTCATAAAGACAAAAAAAACAAACCAAAACAAACCTTAACAGCATCAAATGTTTAAAAGTAGAAAAATTAGGACACTGAATCAGCAGAGAGTTTCAGCTGCACGTAAAACAAAACCACAAAATACACTCTTTTGTGCAAGAAAGTAAAAACATATCAATAGCTAAGCATTTTGACTTTGAAGTATTCTGGTTTAGTGTGTATTTACATTCAACTTCAGGAATAAAGAAAACTGAAGAAAAATAAAAGGTACTGTTTAGGATTATAACAGCCATTTCATACGAACCAAGATAAAAATGGATTCCCATTTCAAAAGTAAAGCAAATCCTCATTCAGCTCTTGTCTTAGGTCATGACAGGCCTTTCAAAGATTTCATACATGAAGAATACATTATTTTGCTGAAACATAGAGTGGCTTTTAGTATTGGAAAATATACTTACTTTAACATTTGCTGTTGGGCAAGGACATACTCTGAACAACCACTTCGATACAGAAGTTGAGTGTTGGCTTGAACCCAGACCCAGTGATCTTCACTTTTTTGTACTTTGACTAGAGAAATGCCATTTTCTCCATTATTCTTTGCTATATAATTTAAAAGAAAATCTATTTTAATACAAGCAGTATTTAATATTTTTTCATACCTAAACTATAGGTGAATGCTCACATGGTTTTTTTTTTGCTGCTCTATCATCAGCATAGGAAAGTACAAGCTAAAACATGTCACAAAACAGGGCAAATTACATTAAAAAATAATTGGAAAAGCCTAATGAGGCACTAAACTGTAACCAAGGATTTTGCAGTACTATTCGTTCATTATAATTTTCCCTCTCTGTAGTAAAACTAACCAACAAGAAAGTGTGTATGAAAAATGGTGCCATAACAGAGGAATGGTTTTAAAGAAGTTAGAGACTTTCAGGAGGTATGACAGAAGGCTGAGCACAACTCTGCTCAAGAAGAAGTTGCCCGTTGGGGTAGAGTCACCATCAAAATTTTATCCATTGTAAAACCTGAAATACAGCATAGACTCTCATAATATTGCCACAGCCAAATGCTGGAAAAACATGAGTCAAAGCTGCAAGCAAATCATGAGTTTTAAAGACAATACATTCTAATTTTCTTTGGTTTATGATCTTTGGAAAAAAAATAGGATGTGTAAAATATCATCCAGTTTTCCTCATAGAGGGACAGATATTGTCATTAATTATTAAGATTTTCACATAATCTTACTAAATTAAGTGCTGCCATTTTTAGGAAAACATAAATTGAGCATTTATGGTGTTGTTTATATACCTGTAAACTTGGCGTAACAGTATCTATTTCCACTCTGAAATAGCAAACTGATTCAGTAGTACCTTTTGAGGCAGACAATTTTTTTTATTATTATTTCAAAGAAGGGATATAAAAAGAAGAAAAAAGACAGCATTTGGAACAAAACCTGAAAAACCTAACAGGAGAAAAGAAAAGACAAGGTTCTTTCTCCATACAGTGTATATAATCCAGGAGTACTTTGCAGACACACCTTTGATTTGGTTTTCAGCAATCTGTAATACATTAGTGAAAGCAGCACCTTCATGATGACTGTTTCTTCCATATAAATCTGCTGCTTCACACAGCCCTGAATTACTTTTGGAACTGGAGCTGTAGAAGACAAAATGCGGAAAATTCCTTGTCAGAATCATAGACTCTGAAAGATGGGATCTTCAAGCTATTGACCATTTGCAAAAAATTATGTTTGAAGTATATAGTAACCAGTACTAAATAATTACCCCTGTTTCCTGCATTATTCAGTTGCTCAAACTATTGTGTGACTGAAATTATGTATTCAATGAAGAACAGTTGTGCTTAGGAATATTCTGTTCATGACTTACTATATCTGGAATAATAAATCTCAGCTTCAATTGAGACAAATTCTGTATATATTCTGCTCTGCCTATGGAGGTTATATTCGAGGTATGTACATCACACTGACCAGCAATGCACTTAAGAGTTAGCATGACTTCAACTTGCAATAATCATCGTATAGTTTGAATGGATTTCTTCCAATCTTTAGTCCAAAATGCATATTAAGGCTTTGAAACAGTGCTAAGTCCATAACACTGCTTTACCAATTTTTCCCCTTATTAAGACCACCACTTAAAAAATTACTGTATAAATTTGCCCACTATCCCTGGCTCGAATGCTTCAGGCCTGAACCAAAGGAAACACTGAAGTTAAATGCCTGCTTCATTCTTGTCAAATCCTTGGCTGCCATCCAGCTCGTTAGCAAAACTTAAGTTCAGCACCTCTGTTCTAGGAACTGAATTCTGATCATCAATTAATTTCACCTGGGCCATGGAAAAACCAGCAAGTGGAAATGACATTTCAACTGTATACCAAAAACCTGCATAGTCCATTAAATCAGCCTTCCAGTAATTTAATTCTTGTAAAAAAGATGCATGTGCGAGACCCACATTACCCATCTGGATAGTAAGTCCACACATACATAAGCATATTCTAATTAAAAGCCAAATTAAGATGCTGTCAATGACACTGATGAGCTTTTTACTCCACAGCAATAGACCTCATTTCCATAAGGTTATATTTAAGGAAATAAGAAAATATCCAAGTCCAAATAATTGTGCTACCAGAAGATACTGAGATTTGAAAAGTATTAGTAAAAATACTGAAATTTGAAAACTATTAGTAAAAATACCTTTTCTTTTCCACTTTTACAACCAGTAGAATGAATTACTGCATTGGTAACTTCTGATGGTTAGGAAGATATCCCTAAATTCCAATTTTTCTATAAAATTATATATATAGTAATATAATACTTAACATGTGTTATATATAAGGTATATTAAGGCTATTATAACATAGTTATGTATTATGTAATTTAATCCATATAAATTATTCACATTTTTAAGAAAAAAGTTTTAAAATGGAGTCATTTAGTCTACTTTGTGCTTTTTACATGCTTAATAAACATAAAGCCCATAGTATAATTTAATAACAGCTAAAAGATTAATTTGAAAATACTTTGTATTCACTGCTGCTGCATCATCAGCTTTGTGTTTTGCTTTCACAAGTAGGCTTTTCATTTTCATCTCTGTCACAGAAGGAAGCAGAAGTGGTACCACTATGCAGAATAATGACAGCTGAGGTGGCAATATTGTTCCTGATGAGGACTTCTTCCTTTGTCCAAAAAGAAACTTTAGTTTGCCTTGGAACTGCATTGTCTGTTTCACAAAAAAAAAAAAAAAAAGAAAGAAAAAGAATTATCTTATGCATTTAGTGTTTAAACATTTGAAATGATAATATAACATATGGACCATGTTGTTTAACAGGGAGAAAAACTAGGAATCTCATTTTCTACATGCAGTTTAAACCATGCCATTTCAGAGGCATGGTGAGTGGAGGTACTATCAACAGTAAAATGAGACATTCAAGGCTGGTTTTTGTTTTTGTCTCTCCTGTGTATTTAAAGTAGAAGTTCTGTGTTATGTTCTGTACAGGCAGTGTATGGTGGTGCAAACAGTTACTTCCTCTGTGCCTCACTCTGAAGCTGGAACTTTTAGTTTTCCATGCTCTGTTCTCTCCAGTGAAACGGTTCCTGAGTTTCTTTCTTCTTGCCTGCACTTTCTCTGGGAAGTATATGGACTGGCACAACCCAAGGGCTGCGCAGGCAGATGCCAAGGCAAAAGATATGCCCAAGATGACCAGATTCAAAGCACATAGCTTGGAAGAAGCTATCTGTCCCTGCCTCAAATCTTTACATAATCAGAAGGCAGAGATCAAATTATTAACTTGAGCAGCAAGCTGCTTCCTCTCAGTGAAAAAAATGACCGGAGAAAAATCAGTCCATTTGAGTTGGGCTTTTTCCAGAGCTCCAAGATTAAAACAGGGATGCAGAAATGACTAACTGAATTGCTGTTTAGACCTGCACCAAATAAGCTCATCTTCCAGCAAATGAGCATCTGAAACAGAAGTTGCATTTTCCTGTCTCACGCTAATACTTTGATTTTCATTCCAGATGCCATACTTCGTCATTGTATGTCAAAGGAACAACACTGGTCTTTACTAAGAAAATGGGGAAGTTATTTGTAGAAATGAGCCATTCCTAGTAAAGGTATTTGAGGAGCATGAGAGAGACTTTCTAATTCTGTTTTTTTATTATTAAAAGATCTTTTGCAAAAAGGGAAAAGGTATCATTATTATTGCTTCTTCTTAAAGCAAGTACTTTGTGCTTACACATCAATCGTTGAAACTCAGGCTTGCCATCATTGTGCTAGGCCTAATACAAACTGAGGACAGATAGCGTTCAAAAGAGCTTAAAACACAGAAGTCTACAGATTCTTTCAGTTTCAAATGTTACAACCTCTCTTCTCCCATCAGTCTTTATGCATTAACATCTTCAGGTACTTCTTGTTAGTGCACAGCAAATGAGAAGTGTGTCTTGTCCATGGCTCTCCACAATATTTATGTTCAATATTTGTGTTGAAGTATTTTTCATATGAAGTGATTAAAATCTAGTATGTCATGAATACAGTTCTCTAAGTGAAATTATACTTACAAGGAAACCAGAAGTACTGTCCAACAAGCAACGAACTCGACAGATGAAACAACGAGTTAAAAAGGAAGAATAATCTGTTGTCATGCTGTCATTCTCTTGTGCTTTAAACAATTTACTGAGAATGTATTCTTCTCCTAGAACGACAGGGGAAGCAATATATATCAGATCACACTAAGAAAGAATGAAAATGTTCTGTAGCCAGTTGAAGAAACTGTTATGGAAATTGATAAAGCCTACTTTATGGAAGGGCAAATATTAGATTGCATCAGGTATAGATACATCTGCATATGCTTTTACCAAAAAAAAAAAAAAATGTAGGAAAGCCCTACAATGGGGTTCAGGTGAGTTTCTTCAGAAACTTTGACTTTTTCTTTATTTCCTGATTTTTTGTGATTTTTCATGATGCAAAGCAGGGTAACAGATGTTGCTGGTTTTGAGATCAGAGATCACAAAAAATACCTTAGGAAGAGGAACAGAATGAAAGGAAAAATACTAATGTCAGGAAAAAAAAAACAAACAAATTAACAACAACTGATAAGCTAATGTTCATCTGTTGCCTACTTGATTTTTAATGAAACATTTTCCAGTTTTGGACTACAAGTTGTCCTGGTTTCAGCTGTAACGGTTATTTTTCTTCCTAGTAGCTGGTGCAGTGCTGTGTTTTGGCTTTAGTCTGAGAACAATGCTGATAACACACCAGTGTTTTAGTTGTTGCTAAGTAATGCTTACACTGATCAAGGACATTTTAAGTCTCTCATGCTCTGCCAGTGAGGAGGGGCACAGGAAGCTGGGAGACAGGACATCTGACCCAAACTAGCTAAAGGGGTATTCCATACCACAGCACGTCATGCCCAGTATATAAACTGGGGGGAGTCACCAGGAAGTGACCAATTGTTGCTCAGGTTGGGCTGAGTATCGGTTGGCAGGTGGTAAGCTATTGTACTGTGCATCACTTCTGTTTATTGGGTTTTTTTTCCCTTTCCCCTTTTATTTTTATACTCTTCTCTTGTTATTTCCTTTATCATTACTATAATTACTATTACTAGTAGTAGTTTTATATTATACTTCAGTCATTGGATTGTTCTTATCTCAACCCATAGGACTTACATTCTTTTGATCCTCCTCCCCATCCTGTCCAGAAATGGGATGGAAGGTGAGCAAATGACTGTGGTGCTGAGTTGTGGCTGGATCTAAACCACAACACATGTGCATACCTTTTAAAATAAGTATTTTCCAAAAGACAGAAATATTTATTTGTATAGAAGTATGAACTCAGGCATTGAATTCTCCACTGTATTATGACAAAAATTCCAAACATTTGTTATTTTTTATAGTTAGAAATATTCATGCACCTTTTTTAGTTTGTTTTCTGTGTACCCCCTACAAAAGCTTGCAAAGTTCCTCTTACATCTGCAAAAAATATAAACTGCAAGAACTTGTACCAAAGTTTTCTGACTGTATTCCTGAGAACCTCATAAGGCTACTGTAGGATTATCAACTTTGTAGCCTCAATGGCACACACTACCTTAGAAATGTTAAGGATCAGGAAGAAACATCATCTATGGGACAATAACATTATAAATGGCCACTATGCAGCTTTCCAATGAAAAATGTGACTTTACACAGAATAGACATGGGCATAGGTTGAGTGCAATTCAACCTTTGTACAGTGGTGCCTATGTTTCCAGTCAACATATACAATCCCACCTGTTTCTGTCTGTAGTTGTTGTCCAGATAACGTCTGGGGAGGATTCATGGCCCAGTGCAGTTGTCTGCAGAAATCCTGGCGATCATCCACGTGAATGTAATCATATATGTTTTGGTGCATTACATCAGTCTGAAATAATTACAACAATTAATGTTTCATTTAGAAGTGTAGTGGGGCAGACACTTATCTTTAGATTGATACTTTACTGAAAATAATGGCTGGTGTAGGATATCTTCAGAGCAAAGACTGATTGAGGAAAGTTATTTCAGAGGCCCCTGTTTTACAGCATCTGCTTTCTGGTTTCATATCCTAAGATGATTCTTTTTATTCTTAACTCTTTTGTGCATATGCAAATGGGAATCTTTAAAAGGTTCAACTGGCAGCCAGTGACAAGTGGCATGCCCCAGGTATTAATGCTGGGATCAAGCCCATTTAATTTCTTGTTTAGTGAACAATGGGATAGAGTGCACTTTCTGTAGGTGTGCAGCGAGTACCAACTGGGGAGAGCAGGATGGCTACGCAGACCTTAACAGGCTGTAAAAATGGGCTAAGTTCAACAAAATAAAATTTCTAATTTCGAGTACCCCAGGAAAAGAAAGATACTGGCATACAGAAGTGAGCCCAGGAGAACACTACCACTGCACTAACAGGGCTGGAGCTATGACATAATAGAAGAGAAGAACAGTTTGTTCAGCCTCAAGGGAAAACTTCAGGAAGAACTTACTGCTGTCTATATAATCCAAATAAGCAGGTAAAAGGAAGACAACGCCCGACTCTTCTCAAATGAACAAGGTGGGAGAACAAGAAGCAACAGACACAAGCTGCAACATGGGAAACTGGGACTTGATGCAAGCAGGGGAAAAAAATTATGGACAGGGTGGTTAAACAATGGAATACGTCACGCAGAGGGGTCATGGAAACTCAAAACTTGATGAGTCCCAGATCAACCTGCACTAACTGGATCTGCTTTGAGCAGGAGGTTGGACTAGATGACCTCCAGAGGTCCTTTCCAAATACATGGTTATGTTATTCTGTGACTTTACAATGTATTTGTTATGCATAGGCAACCAGTCTGCATGTCTAAACGTCTATGTATAGCAGCACCTTATACTGACATTGAAAAGAAACTTTTAGCTAAATCTTATTTTTATGATGGATTACATTACTACATTACTGTTAACAAAAACTTTACAAAAGCAACAACATTACATGGAATTCATCTTCACCTGTCAGATCAAAAAAGAAATTTATCCTGAAATGACATCGTAAAATAACTTAATTTCAGTCATACTATATGTCTAATCAGCAGTAGAAGGATAAGGCTAAATAGCTTAAGTGCTGCATTTTAGAAAGCCAGTTAGTAGGAGTAACTACAAGAAAGTCATTACAATGAGAGTGGCTATGTATTGTAAATATTAGTTAATATATTTACCTGATGAAACCCTAGATAGTCCACAATCGTTGATGACGCATAAAATATCATTCCATCTGCACTCACCACCAACGCAAAACCGTTCAGTGACTAAAAGGAAAACAATATTAAAAATAATCAGAAAGTAAAGAGTAAAATGGGTATAAAATGTAGTAATTTTAAGAATATTCTAAATCTAAAAAAAATCACTCTGCAAACAAGCTGGACATCAAATTTTGCAGAAAGGCCTTTTTTCCTAACATGAAAGATGAATAACAATATGGAACATAGTTTTTCCTCTTTTTTAATAAAGTTAGGACAAGTAATTTCAGTGTTAACTACCATATTACATTATTAGGTGATTATCTACTTTAAATTTTATCATTCATTCATATCATTAAAAGCTTAATAGCAAGTGCCAAATACGCTTTTTGCTTTTAATTTAAAACATCACATTCCATAATAATTGCTTTGAATGTACATGCATTGATACATATAGATAATATAATAATCTCCAACAAGAAAATTAAATGCATGTACTGTGGTAGCTCTCACTTTAAAACTGGACTTGTAATTTAATGCATGGCTATTTTCATACACTTCTATGAAAATACCTGTGTGACATAACTGCATAAATGCAATGAATATGTAAAGTAGGAAATAAATGCTTCACTGATAGAGAATCCATGTTTAGTCTAAGAAGAAAACCTGAATTTATTCCTATGGAGTCAGCAATGTAAGGAAAGTAACCAGGAAAATAAGGATTAAATAAATAATATATAAATTAACAAGTAAGGATTAAAGGAACTACATGACGTAAACATCAAGATCATCATGCTGCCTGCAGACTGGCTAATTTTGCCTCTCTTCCCTTGGTAAAGGCGCGGTAACATATCTTCACTCCAGCAGGCTTGTATTCCAAGGTTGTTTAGATGATCCTTTCATGTTTTGAGGGCTTTCAAGATGACAGTTCAAATGGCTGCTGATGAAACACAGCTACATTATTACTATCCTTGCTTCACCTTTTTTCAGTTTACTGTTGTAGCAATGTGCCTATTAATCCTGAGTTAATCCTGAAGCACAATGAGGGCAGATTTTCAATCACTTGGTAACCAGACACACTGACATATTTTTTGTGAGCTTGGTTCTCTTTTTGGTTCCTAAATAAGGACCAGATTTCCAAGACTGCTCGAAGCCTGTTCCCACTGTGACAATGGTGGGCAGAATTTCAAGAGTTCAGTGCACAATAGACTGACCTCCTCAGAAGATTCGGCCCCAATCAGAAATGTGGAGCACCTTTGGAAATGTGGCCCAATGGGACCACAGACGGTCAGGGGCTCTATGTCTCAAAGAACCTGTTAAATGATGACTGGAGAAATGTAGTGGAGAGACTGCAGTGGCTCACCTACCTTTGGAAAGGGCTGTAGCAGCAACTGATTCAACCAAGTCAGTGCTAACCACGAGTCATGGCTAAGAATAGTCAAGTGCAAATCATTGCCAGGCCCAGGTCAGCTCTAAAGATACAGATCCTTTCCAGAACAAGGGTTATCTCTGCCCAGTTGGGTTTGTGCTGAACACTGGTTATCTCAGTTGACTCTCCAAGTGCACAAAGTTGCTGGACTGCTGCTATTTTCTGATCTAAATAATGCCCAGATTCATCCTAGCACCTCAGTAACCAGAAGACAATGTGTCAAGATTTCTACATATTCACATCTGTGCCTTTCACTGCACTGAGAGGAGCCTCCATAGATGATATCTGTCATATCCATGTCCAGTGTCAAGTGGAGACAAGAAAGCATTTTTGGCATCTTGTCTCTTTGAACTCATCTTCACAGCAATGAAACCATCACTGATGTGATGTTAGGAATTTTATTCCATTCTGAACATCTAGCAGGCCTTTTAATTTGTACAGAATAAAAATTTGCACAAAGATAACCATAGGACATTTAAGGTAGCTCCTTCATGTCTGTGGCTGTTACATGCATGTTCCAAAAGATCTCCAGTCCTGCCTGTGCAGCTGGAGCAGGTAGAACTTTAAAACATTAAAGAAATGTTTGTAATGGAAGAAATGTTCCTAACCTATGCAAATAAATACAACAAGTTCTATCTGGGAAGGCTTAACAAAATGACCATAGGATCTGAATACTAATAAAGAATCTCACATGTATCATGCTGAGCATCCTTTAAATGTGGTTGGTCCTGCAGGTAAGCTGGAATTTTTCAGCCCCTGTAAGAAATAGCTGGGGAGCACTTGCCTTTGCAAACGATTGCTTTTATGAATAAAGAAATAAATGCCCCTATCCAAAAATTACTCTTCTTCATCCTAGACACATACCCTAAGAGATGAGTTTTTACTTTTAAAATTTAAGACCTGCTCCCCCACAGTGAAGGTGGGCAGATTTTTCTTTACACAAGATTTCATTTCACAGAGCCAGAGTCAGGCTGGACCAGCTGCAGCAGGTTTTAAAATAGGAAGGGGAAATGGGACCATTTCTAAGGGTTCAGATCGGTGGACTGGCAGCTACATCTGTGAGGTTGTGACATATAAGAAGGGGTGGGAGGGAGCAAGAGGAAAGAAGAAGCGGAGGAAAATTTCAAGGACCCATGTGTTTAGGTTAGGAGAAATAAGTATGGATTTGAGGGATGTATGTAAATGAAGAGAATTCCAAACTTCCCCCACTTTGTTTTGTTCTCAAAATGCTGATGTTCTCTCCTGAGTTAAGATTTCTTAAGTAAGGATTGCCTGTTTTTCATGACCCCAAATGCAGACATCAGATGCTCTACCCTTCAGGCAGGAAAAGAAAAACCCACTTTGGTGCAACAACAACTTTTATGGACCCACATGAGGCTGTTGAGGATTAACACAAATTCCATGTGTCTAAACCTCATTTTATCTGGGAAACCTGCTGCTTCAGACACACTAAAAAGACACGAGCTGGACATGGAGTAAAACTTCCTAACCAGTGATTCTCACCTATGACTACAAATTTTTCTGTTTTTTCAATATTACCTCAAAGTACATACCCTAAAACAGTTGAGTGTGAAACCTGACAGCTGTAGTACAGAGCACTCTGAATAGAATCAGAGTTGGGCTGAGAATTTTGCTTCTCTTACCTGCTTGCTGCAGCCAGGGAGGTAGAATCTGTTTGCTAACACAGGTCTGGTTCCCCAGAAGTGGGCAATAATGGTTGCAGATTAGTAGGAAAAGACCTCTTCTGACCTCTCAGATAAATCTCTCAGGTATCATATACAGCTCCATACTAAACCCCTTTACAGTAATCCTGCATAGAAATTTTCCATTATTCTGGCTAGACTCTTAGTGATTTGTTAGACTGAGTGGAAAAGAGAGACGGCTTCAGCCCATAAGAATGAACAGAAACTATTCCCAGCGTTTTTGTTCTAAGTTACAAATGAAACAGGACAACAAAGTATATGGCCCCACTTATGATTTTAAACGCTTTCAGTTGCTGAAATAGGGTTCTCAGCAATAGCTTTCTCTCGTTCCCAGTGAAAGGGAGGCTGCAATGGTGTGCTGTGTCAGAACCACAGCAGCCATCTACCTGGGTAATAGATAACCTGGGGGGAAGAAAAGGGAAAGAGGATGTGGACCAGCTTCATAATGTAAGCATGTGTCTGCCCAAAACACAGAGGGGATGACACAGAGAAGTAAAGGCAGCTTTTCTCAGTATAAACAATGTGAAGGCAGCTTTCAGTAGAAATAATGGAAAACCTGTAACAGGGCTTTTGGATTTAGAGGAGGAAATAACTGAACTCCACAGCTCAGCGTTCATGTTATTTGCTTTATGTACAACTGGTGTGTTTTAATCAATAAGTCCACTTGCACCCTATTACAACCATTAGCAATTTTGCACATACTTACACGTGCACAAGGGGACACACCCAGCACATAGAAACACAGACCAAGATATGAGCTTGGCCATTAAAACTTTAACGACAAAAAACAACTAACTTCAAATCTGAAAAAAATACATGGTTATAAACTGCCAGTTGGTAAACCATATGGATTCAATGACAGATGGAATTTCTAATGCAGGGTAATAGCTGAAACATGTGAGAAGGCCTTAAGTATGTATTGTGAACATTTGTTTGTTTGTATTTGGCTTTTTAAAAACACTTACATGAGTTTTCGACATTGTACTTTACAAATGAAATCATGTGGCTATTTTTTTTTTTCCCCAAATGGAAAAAAAAAATGAAAGAATTAAAAAAAAAGGGGCTTGGCACCAGACAGGGGCCTGTGTTCTTTTGCAAGAACATGTACATCCAATTATGTACTCACGAAAAGCTGCACCTGCTACTGAAACAAAAAACAATTAATCTGTCAGTTCAAAGAAAGTACAACATTATTCTGGTGCCTGCAGTAGCTGGGAGATGAAAGTTATCAGTTCCTTCCATTAAGAAGTTTTCGAAACATTATTAGTCAAGAGGTTCTCTTTGGGAATGAAGGCAAATATTTTGAGGAAGGTAGGACTTCCTTTGGCAAGATCCTTTATATATCCTGATTTTTTTTTCCTGGTCCCATGGCAGAAAATCAGCCAGCAAATACTTCAAAGATATTTTGGTCAAGGTCATGGCGTAGTAAAAATAAGAAGGGGGGGGGAAGAGACAGAAAACAAGTTCCAATCCACATTTCTCTTATTACTCTTCCTTGAAATAAAGGAAAATTCACTAGCACTAGGTCTCCAGAGACCATGTTACTATGGTTACTAAAGTACAACAGTCAAGGCCTGCAGCCATGCCTTGCTTTGAACAGATTTTTGAGTCACGCAACTTGGGTACTAAATTTCCAGGGTCATTTGGCTCACAGTTTATCTGGAACAGCTTCACTTAATAGTGGATCACTGGGTTTTTTGCATCCTATGTGGGATGGGGCCATTTTCTGGTGATCTAAGTAAGCAGCTATTTAAAAACTTGGGAAATACTTGTTCTCGTCTTATGAATATTGGGAGGAAAATGCAGACAGTTAATGTGTCTTCTGTCTTTAACTGTATTGTTTAGTGGATCAGTATTTCTTTCCACTGGTGTTTTTTAGGATTCATAATTGAACTTCTCAAAAATCCCTCTGAAATCCCTGAGGTTCTCTTTATGAC